TTATAACTATTAACGTTCTATTAGAATATGATAAATACGATTAATATTTAATTCAGAGCACTTGCTTATTAATAATACAATAATTATTATGTCATTTTTTATAATTACTAACAAATTATAGATATTGTGAAATAACGCAGTTGACTATGATCATATTTTTATAGTAATTTATGTAAATATATATAACTGAAATGTTATCATGGTAGGTGTTTAGGTAAGTGTTTACCTACTGCATTAATAATTGAAATGTTTTGTCATTGATATATTAAGAATATTATCTCTATGAACTTAAAATGGATTTAAATGGAGTTTTCTTCTAATCTGGAATTTATTAATTTGTAATATTTTTACTGTTATAAATAATTATTTACTTGTGAAATGCATTTATTGAACTTAAAAATAGGTACATTWTTAATGTTATGGTGTTAATAAACATAAGTAAATTTTAATGAACATTGAAAACATATTATAACTATTATTCTTAAATTTTAAATTGATTGAATTATTAATTTTCATGTTGCATATTAGGTAAATTTATGACATTATTTATTGCATATGATGTTCATATCACTCGAAAGGTAACTGAAAAAGAAATGTAATTTATTGTCATATTTTCATCTAAAATTTTGTTTAGTTACCTTTTTATAATTTATACCATACCATTTCATTTATAATTATATTATTTGTATTGAACGACTGAACGAGGATGTAAACTTTTAGTTTTTATTCCCGAAAAGTTGTTAGCAACTATTCAACTACTTTCCACATAATTCCGTTATCAATTAGCTTATATAGTTACATTATATTTATCATATAAAAGTGTACGTAAATAAGTAATTGTAACCTTCCACTTTTTTTGGATAACTTTCTATCGTAATTCATTTAAATAATACTTATATTGTTTGTAACATATTATTATAGTATAATTATTAAAACAAACTTGTATGAGTTAAATAAAACATTGTTACTGGTAAGTGGTAGCGATGTAGGTACATATTATCATTATATCAATTTCAATATGCAGTTCTGAATTCATTGTATGTGAAAAACGATTATAAACGGAGATGATTTGTCAATCTAGGATATATTATATTATCTATATTTAATTTATAATATATTTTGTACGCCTACAATATTTAAGTATACATTATATACGCTCACAAAATGTTTTTTATATTGACCGGAGTTTTTTTTTAGTTATTTGGAGAAAAATTTATGGAGAATCTTGGGTTAGGTTTTTTAACCTTAGATATAAATCACAACAATTTTATGAATTTTCAACTTCATAATTCCATGCAAATTTTCGCGATTTTGGCATATTTCGTAAACATTTGAACTTTAAATGCTTATATAAACAAAAATTATGACTAACGATTTTTTTTTTTTTTTTACTGCGACGAGTACAACTTATAATAAACCTTGAATAAAATTTTAAAGATTTTTTGAGTAGCTAAATTTTTTTTATAGGCATTTAAAAAAAAACTCGAAAAAATGTCAACTGTCTATAAATAACTTAAAAAATGTCAAACTATTTTGAAAATTTAATCGTAAATAGGTAACGCTAATATAAACATTTTGTGAATATTTCAAGTATTTAAAATTATTCGTTTTTAAATATCTAGTATCACTTCGTTCTGAATCTAAAATTGTATTTAGTTATTAAACCATAAATTGGTGATAAATTATAATCTCGCATCTTTAATCGGACATTTTTAATTCATCATACTCGTTTTATATGTAATGAAAATCATTATTAATTGAAAAATCACGATAGTACCTATATAATGAYATATCTATAATATCTAGATTATGGCCCTTTATACACATCATCAAATGCTCAGAGATTGTATTGATCTTTTTTAAATTGTATATTTGAATAAAAAATGTTCTGTTTATATTAAAATATGTTTTATATTCTTCTACACAATATACACAATAATACAACATTCATAAACAATAACCGATAACCATAAAATATAATCAATTTCAGTCAATTTATTTTTGTCTTATCTATCTAAAACTATTTATTTTTTTTGTACTTTAAAATTTGTTTCTTATTGGTTGTATTGTTTCAATTTTAGTTATTAGACTATTATTTGAATAATAGAGGAAATCAATAAACAAGTTCAAGGTTAAAAATCTGCAGGTATCAAAATAAATTGATAGATGGGTGTTAGATGGAAAATTATTTTATCTTCATTTCACAACAATTGAAAATATTAGTTTCTGGTAGGTACTTTCAGTTCAAACTCCAGGAAATAAGTTTTAAGACTAATAGTATGGATAGCTTGTCCTTGGGTAAATTTATCTCTTCCACATCTGATTATAGATATATTGATGAWGTATAAAGTATAATTAATTCCCAAACCAAACGGTTTTAAAACCGGAGTTATATCTTCGAACTTGTCATTTTATTAATTGTACCTAGGTATATTGGTTTTTTCACCTTGTTTAATGTCGATAACCTTGTAATTAAAATTGAGGTCAATGTTGATAAATAATCTATATGGAAAATGTAGGTATATTATATAGGTACCTATATTATAATCTATATTTTATGTATATATATGTTTCTTGTCCACTCAAGTACAAAAAGGGTGAGAGTTTTTTCTTTTAAAATTTATACTTACGTATTTATACATTAGATATCCATATCAATAAATGTAGGTATACAAATAAAAATTAGGTATTTGGAATAACCCATAATAACTAATTAAATAACTAACTCGATAAAAACTATTATTCAAAGTAGAACTTGAATAAAAATTAGTTCAAACACAAATAAGATTACAATATTGCATTGTATTCCTATAATCCTTGAAGAGATAATTTTTAACTGAATTAAATTCAATAAGGTTTTTATTTAAAGTTGATAGGAAGTCAAATGTAATGTCTTTTAAGTTTTAATTATTGCATACATATCATCCAGTTTATGACGTTGTTAAATGTACTTAATTACGCACACTTTTATTGATATGGGTTTAATTATTTGCATAMATTTTTATTATTTTGTATTCATTGTTAAAGCAGTGCAAAATAAGAATAGAATAGTCCGATTAAATTATGTTCATTTATACTTAATAGTTTAGTTTATCGGAAAAAAATAAGGAACAGAATTACGTAATAGTAAAAAACCGTATATATTTTATTCCAGTGAAAGCTATAGTGCGTATTTTATTATACTTGTATARTGTATACACTACCTACTTATATACACGCATAATATGTTTTATAAGTCTTACTCTCATAATTTATACTTTAAATCAAAAATATACACTTATAATAATATTAATAAGTAATTTGAATTAAAAAATAGTATTCAAGTGTACTAGCTGTGATTTTAGTTTTGTAATTAATTGTATGTATTGTTTGTAGATTTAGGCATCGTAACTCCAGCTCAGGTTCAGTTCCTTACAAAAAGTGTCGTGGAAAATACGGCAGCTGATAAGTTAAAAAGCATGGGTGCCATTGCGTATGATCCTATTAAAAAAGACGTATACATCAGCGACGCCAATCAGAAAGGTGGAAGTATATTTCGGTTAAAGACTACCGGTGATACAGCGTACACCATCATCGAACCCATCGTTGCTAGTAAGTATATCGCCGACTCGCCAGAAATCTTAACTCTCTCGCCGAATAATTAATAATATTTTATTAATGATTTGATTTTTTTCCCTGTAGAACAAAACGTTACCGTACTGGGTATGGTTTTCGATGAACGTACGTCCACGTTGTACTGGACTACTGGTAACGGGCTGACYATTAATTACGTTCACGTACCAGAAAATATGACTAAGGTTCCACTCAAAGGACACGTCCTTTTCAAGTTTAAGAAGTCAATACCCCAGGGTATCGCTATTGACACGTGTCGAGGGTGAGTTACTAATTTTTATCAATTATTATAGAGCTATAATATTTTTGGTATATTCGGTCTACTAGTATAATTTTGTGTATATACCTAGGTACATAAAATATATTTTGTATGAATACATATGACTTAGACGAATTTTAAGTTAGGTTAGGTACAGTTTCGGTTTCATTAGAAACTAATGTTCATCAGTTGACTAAATACGTATTTACATTGAAGGCCATTTTGTTAATAAGTGATCTAAAATTCCATTAATATTATTCAGTTAAGTGTCGAATTATTTAAGTACATAATATTATGATCTGTCATATTCAATTTTACTCAAATTTTACTGAACTATGTCCCAGTTTTTAGTATATCTTTATTATATTTTATAACCTTACTTATATTGTACAGATTATTATTTTAATTTTGCATTGATGATATTTTATTGATTCGAACGAAATTTATAAATTATGATTTAAAAATATAACTGGTACTATCTTAACTGAAATATAATTTAAACTTATAGTATTCATTAATAATAATAGGTTAAATGAAATACAGATAGGTCATTACTTATTATAATGTTAATATTTGCAGTAGTATTGATCACTTTATTTTGATAACCTTCATATTGGCCAGTGCCGACTTACTATACTTTAGCGAGTGGATGGTAAACTTATTATGAACTATATAATATATATATAAGATAACAAATTTACGATACTGAAATGTTGAACTTTTTTTTGTTGGGAGTGTTTTATTTTGTATGTATACAAGAAAATTATAGTTGAAAAAGTTAAATATTCTAGAATGAAATAGAAAACATTGATTCAAGTGTATATAATTACTCCTATAGCTCCTAAATCCTGAGTTTTATAAATACTTAATAAATATTTTGTCGGAATAGGGTAATGACTAATGACTCAATGTTATTGAACAAAAAAAAAAAAATAATAATACATATTATTGAATGATGTAATACATTTATTTTGTAAAGTAATATTATGTATGTTACAATTATAACACGTATAGTGTCATATAATATTAAATTTTTGATAGGATTATATGACAATGATTATTATGCACACTATTAATTTCTAAGAGTTGAAAGTATCTCTTCGGATTAAAATATACACAGTTCAATTATTGTAAAACTATACAAAGTCGTTTTTCTTCCTTTTGAAATGTATATCAAATTATTATACTTTAACAGATTAGTGCTCATTTTGGTGGACAATAATTTCGAAATCGTTGTTTTACCCAAATTAACTCATAAATGACATGCAATGATTTACCATTGTGGCTAACTTAGAACGGGCTTATAAAGTCATTATCAATTAAGGAACTGCAGAGCTAATAAACCAAATTGAAAATTGTATCGTTTTTAAGAGCACGGATTAAAGTTTGGCTTAATTCCTTAATTTCGACGATGATTTTAGAATCCKTGCTCTTTGACCGTGATTAAATTTTCAATTTGTTGGACCCCTCCCCCTTACCAAAAAAGATGTGGAATTTCACAAAATCATTTCAAAAATGAAATTCGGTAGGTAACACGTTTTCGTGTTTCAGGTATTTGTACTGGACAAACTGTAACCATCTAAACGCGACCATCGAACGGTCGCGTCTGAACGGTTCAGATCGTCAAATCATCGTGCACGAGAGTCTATTCCAGCCGCTCGGCATTGCAGTTGATGTGGAACGTAATTTGATCTACTGGAGCGACGAGCACGAGAGCCTATACTATAGTATCGAGAGCAGCAACCCGGATGGTAGCTCCCGTAGGACGCTCATCCGCGGTACGCACCACCAGCCGTTCTCCATAGCGGTAGACGACCGAGACATCTATTGGAGCGATTGGATCAACAACGCCGTGTGGACGATGCCCAAGGATTCGTTCCAGGGTGGCGTGCAGCCGACCCTGGTCGCCAAGTACGAGTTGATCAACACGCCCATGGGACTGATAACGCCCACCGGCAACACTACCATGGTCAACAGCACGTATTGCGCGATGCACAGGTCAAAAGTACGTTTCACACTGTTTTTCCAGGTTAACTCCGTCCCTGCATACCCGAACTCGTTCCCCCAACAGAAGTAAATGTGTAACTTTTTATTAATTTCCATGTAATTTTATTATCTGGTATAAGATTCATAGTTTACGAAGTTGAATAGGTAGAACATGTAGTTATGATGTGTAGTAGGTGTCTTTTTAAACGAAGGATAGTAAGCTCCTCGTTTATTACGAATTAACTACATTTATAAGGTTAGGTTAGATTTGGTTAGAAACCTCTAGTTATCCTTAATACTACAGTAACTATTTAACTGCTATAAATTATAATGCACTATTGTAGATGATTAAAATATATAAATATATAAATATAAAATATAAATTACTCAACCGAACATTGGCGTTACAGTATACTGCAGTCTGCAGTCATCGTCTAATATTATGTATTTAATTTTTCAAATGTATTAGATTTTGAGCGGCGCAAGGAATGTATTGATTTTACCATGATGTGTGTTTTTTTTTGTCATCATGTTTTGGGACAGTAAAAATTCTTTGATTTTCGACTTCAGTACCTTGTTAGATCAGAAAGTGAATCTAGTTTGTACTTTGGGGGGTTAAAAGTAAAAAATGCTCAGTATTTTTCTTAATAATAATTGGGATAAACAAACTAAAAATTAAGGAAAAAACGGGAATTTGTACGTACAATCAATCTTGCATTTTATGAGCGTTTGAAATTTAAATTTTTACAACWTTGGATTTTCACTAGATATCTCATTTAGCGAWTTTCTTATTTTGGTGTAACTCTAAAACAAATGACCGCTGATACTTGAAATTTTCATTGAATGTTTGAATTGATAAGATTTTCAAAATATTTCGATTAGTTTTGAGCTGTTTACTGTTAATTTTTCAACATTTTTAGTTTTTTTTTTCTTTTAATGTCAATAAAATTTTAGTGGTTGGGTCAAAAAGTTTCAAAATGTAATATAAGGCTTCTAACACACTGTTTCAATAGCAGTTGAAAAATATTAAATATACATAAGCACGATTTTTTTTTATATGCGTTTTTTTTTTTAATCTAAGAAACTTGGTGAGAACCATTAGTTTCGACAATTACAATAAACATATGAATATCAGAGTATGTAATATCTACTAAATTAGAAAAACATTATTATTATTTTTTTTTAATTTAAATTATGAATCCAGCCTGGTTGAATAAATTAAGTGTGGATAAAATAACAGTTTGAGAATTGCAGGAAAGGATCGATGGAGGATTGGCTGGAATATTTAGAGAATTAATTAAGGAGAGAAAGCTTTTGCGTTGGGAGAAGATATATGGGTAGTTAAAAAGGATGTGTGAGTGATATTGCAAGTGGCTGTGGTGGAATGGCGAGTGCAGAGGGGGAAATCATTTAGGCTGAGCTTAAATGAGTGCGAAGGTAGTAAGGTGTGTCCGAGCGGAGGCAAGAGAAAGAGGAAATATTCTTGCGAGATAGTTTAGATTTATCAAACTAAGGGAGAGGAGAAATGGATGGTGCAATGTCTCTGTACCAAGTGGCAAAATAAGTGGAAGACCTTCCCAGTATCTGAACCATAATTTATCAACGCTATATTTTAGCATTGGGCAAAGGTCAGACCAGGGAATTGTGCTGSTTGGGGTACAGCATAATGATGAGGCTGTCGATTTAGCCAGTGAGTCTGCAGTCTCGTTACCAGAGATCCCTGTATGGCTAGGGACCCAGAGAAACTGTACGTCAAAGTCTAATTTAGTGAGCGTGGGATCTAATTGTAGAACGAAGGGATCTGATTGTAATTATGAGTGGGGAGTTGGGTGTTTTGAAAGCATTTGAAACAAGAGGTTGTAAATATGAAAAAGAGTCAGTTTTGATTAGAAATTTGTTAAGGGTTAGTGTGGAGATGAGAAGTAGAGATTCAATTATTGCATAGCATTCGRCAGTATAGGATGATGCTGTAAGAAGAAGATTATTAGTGAAGGAAATAAGAAATTCCGGAATAATTTAAGCGAAAGCGGCTGAAACATTTAGAGGCATTTAAAGTTCAAAATTTGACTAAGTACGTAAAAAAAATGTCCACCGGAAAGTCAAATATTAAAATAAATGTTAATAATAAGTAATAATATATCCTAGACAGATAAACCGTCTCCGCTCAGAATCGTTCTTCGACTCTTCGTATATAATGATATAATATCATAAAATGTAATTCCATCAATTACATTAACTCCTCACTTGTAACCTACTGTAAAGCAGAGCGATATCCTCTTTCCCGCTTTTTTTTTCGATTATRTTTTAATTTTTACCCAGYATTTACATWTATTTAAAATCGCTGTTAAAAACAGTGAAAAATTATTTTTTATTGTACCACAACTACTCCACCACAACTGTGATTGCGGTAGCCTGCAAGTTTCTCGGAATTTCTAAACCTTAAGTTGGTATTTTTTTGTTTATAACTTTTCAAGGTTTATTTTCACAAACATGACACTAAAAAAAAATTATTTAAAATAGATACCATCTTATTTTGATGAAATTAAAAACGTTTAAAATATTCGTTTACAACTTTCTATTACAAATTCACATTTATTGCATCATTTTATGCATTATTACCTATGTATATACCTGCTTTATATAGTAGGTGTATTATATATACTTTAATTTCAATATTTTAATAAAAAATAGTAAAAAAATATTTAATAATTAATGTAGGTAAATAAACTATGTAAACGTTTAATTAAAATAATTTCAATATTTTTTTAAATAATTTAATGCAGTAGAGCCCAGTTTTTATTTTTTTTTTAATTTGCGGTTTAATAGCATATTTGTTAGGCGAAAAAACCTTTGTGGTTTTATAGGTATCTAATGTAGTAAGACTAGTTGTATTTTTTTTAAACTTCTGTTTTCGATTAACACATAAAATCAATAGTCTAAATAAATAGCTAAATGAATTCTCGGTAACTTCGGATATTAAGCATTGTTGATTTATATAATATGTTCAATTAAATCTCGTGTTCTCTATATAATATCACGTAATTTTCTTTAAACACATATCTTGTATCTGTCTTGTACATACGACTATACGAGTAACATGGAAAATCTGCATACATGATTCTTACAACATAATTTATTTATAGTTAATATTTTAGTACATTTACATAATATATTAATATGATTGAACTTGTAGAGTAAAATCCAAGCKTTTTGTATTTTTTTCATGTTTCTGTATGATATTTTGTTAAATACATTGTTCCCAATGTAGGGAAAATAAATAAACTTTATTTATAATCAATGGTAGTTATCGTTTTAAAATTAACCTATTGAAAAATACTTTATGCTCGGGCAATTATAATAATATA